CTCAGCGTAATGAAAAAATATTCAATTTTCTGTGATTTAGCAAAATATTGTTTTGAAAGATATCATATAGATATTGAATTAATGTCTCTATTACATCTATCCTTAACTTTGTATTCTAACTTTTATGGCAACAATTAATATTTTCTGAAGTAAAATTTATTTTAGATGAATAAATGTATTTCTATGATATTAATGTTATTTATTCTGAAAGTTTTTTTCATTTCACAATGTTCAATGCGAACACATACTGTTTATAAAGCTTTTAGTCAACAAGATGAAACAGAATATATTGATGATTTTAGTACTCTTATAAAAGATTCTTATTCAGCACCACTTCCTCAAGATTTAGCAGCTACATGTAAGAATCAAAATCAAGTGACAGTATCAACAACTAAATCAATAACAAGTTCAATGTTATCATCGGATTTACAAATATTTTGTGGTACTGATACTATATGTATCATATCAAATGGTTTTACAGTTACAATGAATAGCAATTTAAATGTTGCAGCGCTGATTGTAAGTGGTTCGTTAATTTGGAATGATGTTAGTCAATCTTCAAATAATCAATGGTTGTGTGCTGGTTATATTGCTGTAAGTTATTTTTACTTTCGGAATTTAATCAGAAATTGAAAAATTAAATATTTATTTCTGTAGGTTGATGGAGGTCAATTCGATATGAATTTAATCAGTAAACAAGGTTATATTTACATTAAAAATAATGGTCTTAAGCATCCAACAGTGTATACTCGTGCATTTGCTGCCTTGAATACCGGTAAAATATATGTTAGTGGTCGATCTCTTGCTAGAACATGGTCTTTACTCGCTAATAAAGCTACATATGGTATGAATTCAATTAGTCTCTTACACAAACCAGAGGATATGGTTAGTATGTCATATTTCTTTCCATCACAAAACGTTTAGTATACTTTAGGGTTGGAGAGTGAGTGATAGAATTGTTATAGCTCCGACTGCAACAAGTTCAAGTGGAAATGCTGAAGATTATACAATTGGAGGATTCGAAGATAATAATACCATTAAATTACTTAATAAAGATGGAACTTCCACTGGTTTTATATCATCATATTTTAGATCAGAAACTGTATTTACAGGTGCAAATATGTCTGCTCTTATGCAAGCAGAAGTTATCAACCTTGCTCGTAATATTATCATTACTGGAGATGATTTTCAACATGTTAATTGCGTAAATGATGTTGCTAATGGTAGACCACCCGATCATATGCAAGCCGATCATTGTTCATGTTGGAAAAATATTCATCGAAGTAAATGTACACTTGGATTACATACAGCTGCAGTTGGACCTGGATCTGTTCTATCTTTACAATATACAAGAATTGAAAAATGTGGTCAACGTGGTATTTTAGGAAAATATTGTGTACATTTACATTTAGTTCGAAAATGTCCTGATTGTAAAATTATTGGTAATGCTTTTGAATATGGTCATCAACGAGGTACAGCAATTCATGGAACACATTTAACAACTGTAGAGAATAATGTTTACAATGATATTCGTGGTGCAACAATATATATTGAAGATGGAAATGAAATGTATAATAGAATATTTCATAATGTTGCCATATGTCCTTGGGCAAAATCTGGAGAAAAAAGAGGATGTACTATACCAGGTGAGTTTACACATATTTTCGAAATTCTTATTGTTTAAATTTTTAAAAGGTACCGACAATGGTCAAGCTGATGGGACATTAAATCAAGCTGGTTTATGGGGTTTGAGCTTTACTAATTATGCTATTGGAAATCGTTTTGCGAATAATTATAATGGTATGTTGTATCAAGAACAAGGATTTGGTCGTGGTCGAGGTCATGTCAATGGTTTAGAATGTCCTAGTTTTCAACAAATGGGAAGATTAGAAGGAAATACTTTTCATGGTTGTGGACGATTTGGTACATATGTACTCGCAACTGTATTTCCAAAGAGAACTGATAGATCAATTGATAAAAATGGTTTACCAACTTTAACGACATGTCAAGAATGGACAGCAAATGGTGAAGATAATGGATTACCATCAACATTTATGCATAATATAGATTATGATAATGTATTTGTTGGTCAATATGGTGCTGGTGATTTACAATATCGATATCATACAAGTATTAATAATAATAATTTAATTTATTGGAAAGAAACAAAAAATTTTCAAGATGGTTGCTCGGCTCATATTGCTGATTCATTTTATGATTCAGGTAATTTAGCTTTACCTGGTGGTCATGGAGCGTTTATTTTGGAAAATATGATTTTTAATAATCGTGTTCATTTTGAATCAAGTCATCATTGTCGTGTTGGAGTAACTGGAGGTAGCTCATACTTTTTTATTTATCTTTTGTTATTTATTTTGTAATTTTAAGTACTTTGTATGCCAACGTATGTATTTGTCAATATGAAATGGACAGGTGTTGTACCGGATGATTCATCACTTTTAAAGTGGGGACCAAACAATGGAGCTATGTTTACACTTGGACCTGATGATGAACAAAATTTGAATGGAAATAAATTATTTCCAGCTGGATTTAATTCAATAGTTAATCCATTTTGGTAGAACTTTTTCTTTCAGAGAACTTTTTTTATTTATTTAATTCTTGTTGAAGGTCTTATCTTTCAGCGTTGGATAATGGTACATCTTGTTTTAGTTCGAATGATGTTGCTACTCTTTTAGGTCAAGATTCGTCTAGCTTTGCCAAAAAATATAATGGTGGTATGTTGAAAAAATAAAAATATTTAAATTTTTTTGTTTGTTTATTGAATTCTAATTTTAGGAGCTATTTTTTGTAAGAGACCTGTTCGTCGACTTGAGGTACGATCAATTTTTGAAAAGTTTTTATTTTTCTATTGTCTTGACATGTTTTAGATATTCTCATATAATCAAAATTCCGGAAACCATGAAAATATGCAATTAGAACTTTGGCAGTTTGGTAATCGTATAAGTTCAGTAGCTTTAAATTTTTTTCAAATTGGAGACAAAAAACAAGGTTATAGTGCTACTGTTATTCCTGGTTTGGATCATCAATATCGATTGTCAATGACTGATGGAGGTAATGTATCTCCTGATTGGATTATTGAATTTTCTGACCCAATATTTGGAAATCGATGGAAGAGAGATGAGATTGATCTTGTTGTTGCCGGTAGAAACTGTCCATATCCAGTTCATTCACAACACGATCGAAGGTACTGTTTTTCAGTAAACTATTTATTTTAAATATTCTTCTGTTAAGATATATTTGGTCTGGAAATAATTATCTTAAAGTAAAAGGAAGAGGAGCTTGCACATCTTTTCCTGATATGTCACCTGTTAACTGTAAATCTCAACCAAAATTAACTAATGTTGAACATTGTCCTGATCAATGTCCAAATGGTTGTAGAAATGGATATTGTGATTGTGCAACAGGAGAATGTTTGTGCAATCCTGGATTTTCTGGTGTAAATTGTAGTATTGATACGTGTGGTGCTGCGGGATGCGTCAATGGTAATTGTGCTGCTCAATATCTTGGACGAGATTTACCTGTTACAAATAAACCGTGTGTCTGTATCGACGGTTGGTATGGTGATCGATGTGATACAACAACGCCGCCACTTCCAGTTTTAGACCCATCACCCATGTGCTTTAATGGATGTTATTATTATACAGATACTAGTATTGGTGGTGGACAAATTCAGACTATTCAAACATCAGATCCAACAGCTTGCTGTGCTGCTTGCAATCGGAATGCAGCTTGTAATGCATGGGTTTTTTCAGCTTATCAGTGCTATTTAAAAACAGGAACACAACTAGTTCAGAAAACTGGCGTTACATCAGGAATTAAATGTTCAACTGGAGCAAATTCTAGTACAATCGCACCTGCTACAGTAGCATCTTCTACTACAGTAGCACCTTCTACAGTCAGACCATCTGTAACAACCAACTGTGATGGTAAATGCAAAGGTAAATATCCATATGGTTGTAATGCTAGTCTTCAAACTGGTTATTGTAATGCAGGAGGCGGATGTACTTATTCTATTAACACTAATCCAAGCTGGTGTTGTTTCAAAGGTTGTTGATTCAAAAGAACAGTAAAAGACACTCTTAATTTTATTTTAAAACGTTTTAGTTTTTTCTTGAAATAAAAAAATAAAAACTAACAAAATTAACTCTAAATATTAATAAATGGCTTAGGCGAGTGTTTTAAAGTATGATTCGATTTCGTTATTTTTATAGTTGCTATCTCTAAAATTTATTGTTTTTCTTCGCTTCTCTAAAATGTATATGCCAATTTAATGACGATAAGTTGGAGGGTGTGGGTGTAGGTGTTATGCTTTTTTTCACATCCATATTTACCCTCTAGAAATGACCCAGTACTTTTTCATACTACGATCACAATGTTATTAATTCAACTAGTATCAAATCTACATATATAACATCATTTTAGGATGATGACTTGTTACTGAAATATCTTGTGCTTTAATTGACTGTGGCGGTGACAATTAATCATCTTAGATTATACAGTAATAATATTCTTAATAAAACTATTACTATGGTTCGACTCATAGATTTTCTTTCGAGAAATTCTGATTATACGGAGCACATCCAGATGATTCACCTCGAAAGTGAATAAGAATATAGAAAGCGTGACCATACCAAACTGATCTATAAACTAAATTCTATAACCGTATTCGAACGTCTCATATCCTTAAGAGGATATTTTTATAACGTTTATCAACTAAATTATTCTATCAATTATTAAATAAATAACATAATAACATCTTGAATGTTCACATTTTTTGAACGCGAGTTATAATGTTCTTCATAAAACTTAAAATTCTTCTTTGAATATATTATTATTTGTAAGAGACAATAAAAACACGAATATTTATTTGGTGAACAAAGTATGAGAAGAATATTAGATTACAAAACTAATTTAGTACAGACATACAACAACTAAGCTCTTAAAAAAAGGAATAGTTCAGTTATGTGTTTACATCATTAGTTTTAATTTCTAGTTTGTGTAAAAGGTTTAACCATCGATACATTCATTTGTTGTCTTATATGACGACGATATAAATTTTTTAAACCATCAAAAAGTGTTTTTCTAAAGACACGAGATGTTAAGATTGAAATATAAAATGCTTTAACATTATTCAAATAATAAAAATTATTACTAAGAATAAAAACAAAAAAAACAATCGAGAATTCTACAAAAGTTCTCGGATAACTCAGAGTAAATGTAAAATACATATACGTTATAACCCATTGCATAGAAATGAAGCTTGTTACTAAAATTTGTGCAAATATAGTTACAATAAATTGATTTCGAAGATTTCGTCGATTTGTTTGAGCTGTGTCACCCTAAAATAAAAAACAGAATTGCATTAATGAAAAACAATCAGAGTTCAGCTACTTACAACTCGTCCACGACTTCGACGAACATTTCGATAAGTAAGTAAAACAAATGTTATCATTGTTATTGGTTGAAGTAAACCGCTAAAAATAATATATGCTATACCTGTTAACGTTGGATTTGTCGATCCACAACCAATTATAGGAACAAGACCATGATGAAGAGGAGCATACAATGTAAAAAGACCACTTGTGAGAACAGTAAGACAAATCATCCATGGTACTTTTCGAAGTTGAGTGATTCGACGAACAGATGATGTATGATCACACGTTATGGCAAACCGATCAATAATAGCCATACATAAAAAACTTATTGATAAATATGGAATAAATGCCAAGAGAAAGATACTGAATTTACAGAGACCAGATAACGTAAACCATGGTAAAGTAATTCCATATTTACCTGAAAAATAATTTGGAAATGAATTAATACAGAGATTAATAATATCAATGAATGAACCACAAAGTGAATAAATACAACAAGTATTTGAACGAAGTTGAGGTTGAAGATATGTAAAAACATTTCCAATAAATCCAATAAGACCAAAGATGAAATAGATTAATGGTAAATAAATAAGAATATTTTGTGATACAAAATTAAGGTCATCAATAAGTGATTTTGATGTTTGTATAAGATCGACTGTAGTTGTAATGTTATTGTCAATCATTTTAGAAATTTCTTCAGTATAAATTAGTATATGAAATGAAGAATGTATGTATGTATGTGGAATTACTTTCTTTTTTTTCTGTAAGCATAAACTGAGTGAAAAGCGGGTATATATATTTGATGATCTACACTTATAATTAGTATCTTTTTATAGAAAGTTCTCAGAAGGTCATGTGACAATGACTTTTTCTACAAAGAGTATATACATGTTCTGTTATTTTGAAAGAAATTGCAAAGATAAAAGTTTTCTTTTTAATTATTAAGAAGGAAATAACAACGTTAGTGAACACTGTCGAATGCCTTAAATAATTTTGACCTTTCTTTTTGCTTGTATAATTGTTTTGTTATTAAAAACCACTATTTATCATCTAATTAGATAAAGCAAAGTGCATGCAAATGAAATTAAATCTTGACCATATTTCTGCGTTCATAAACAATATTTATAAGAGTATTTTATTAAAGATCAGTCATGCTACAAAAAAGAATTGCGTCGTTTTTTCTATTGCTAATTCGTGCGTTTTTTTGCAGAGATATTCTACGTGATAGAACTCTGCATATTCTTCTTTTAAGTATTTCAGTAAACTGGATATTTCTAACAAAGATTTGAACTTAGAAACTAAACATGAAAGAAATTGTTTCCTAACATCATTTATCTAAATAATTAAAATAGCGTTCACATCTCAAATTCTCATTAATAATAATAATAAAATTCATTTAGGCGGAAACTGAATGACACTAAAATCTTTTTTAACAAATACTGAGCATTGTTTATTCTAATAACTATTGGATAAAATAATATCGATATATTATAAAAACATCTGGGATATTGTGGGAAGTTTTGATAGAAAAAAGAATTTATGAGCATCATTAAAATATTTAAACAATGATATAACTCATAGTTAAAATCAAAGTGAATTGGTAAAAGTCATATAAGAACTGAAAGAGAAATTTTATTAGATTTAGAATTATAATTTTAATGATGTGTTTTTCAGTGAAAATAGTAATAACACAAAAGATAAATATAATACATCAAATAAAATTGAGATTTGAAACATAAATTTTCAGTAGAATGAATACAGTGATTAAAAATGTATTTATCAGAATTATAATTATCGTATTAATCAAGGTTTTACAGAATTAAGGAATGTATTTTTTGTCTTGTTATATCTCTGAGTTGTAAATTCAAACTAGCTTACTTGCTTTAATCGAGAAAAGAACATTTTTATAAGACGAAACTTAATTTAGTTTAAGTCGTTACTATTGTTTGATAACGAAGATAGATGATAATTAGAGATATTCTGATATAATATGAAAATCTAAAGTGTCATTATTAGAAAGCGTTGTGATGAAATAGTTGTAGTTCATCGTAAAATTCTTCTATTCTCTAGCTCATACAGAAGAGTCCAGTAAGAGTAAATTGTTTGCTTGCTTGTGCATTCTCACTTCACTTATTGAACAAAAAATAAAACGCATTGGAGAAGTTTTATTTTCCATAAAGCTTAACCAAAGGTAATTCGACAGTGGGAAGCTCGAATCTATGAGGTTGCGGTTTTTACTAGTTTTTTTTTGGCAATCGAGCTTTTTATGGAAATAATTTTTTTTTATAAAGTTTGATCAAGGCTAAATGACATCGGCGAACTCAATTCTGAAGTCGATTTTTTAAAATTGCTTGGATAAATAGTTTGCTGGTAGTGAAGACGCACCATTCGTACGAGAAAGAGCTGAGCGGGTCTCCAGGCAAGCGTTACTTCCCTATTACATGTATGTCAAATCTGACGTCGACAAGATGTTAAGAAATATAATTAACTTTGGGCTTTATAAATATTAGATTCTATTCAGCGAACAGGAGGGTTTGATTTGCATTTGAATATTTTGATATAGTTTTATATGTCAAAGTGACTACTGCAATCAAGATGATTCAAATTAATTGCTTTTGTATTTCCATACATTTTTAAACTACAGTAAAACCTGTCTAATCTGAACACCGTCGGTCGCCGGCAAAAGTGTTCAGTATAACGGGGTGTTCATAAAGGAGGAGTGTAAGCAATATTAGGTCAAAACTTTATTTTGATGATTTAACCACAAGTTTGAAGTGAATTAACTTATTTTATTCAATCATATAATATTTACATAGTAGATTTATAAAGGAAAACCTTAAGCACCAGATTTACGATCTATTGAGTCCTAGGAAAAAACAGCAGACTTCAAGACTTCAAAAAACTCAACAAGCGAGACGTCAGTTTTTGAAAGACTTCAAAAGATTTCAGAAGACTTCTAGAGAATTCCAAGACTTCATGGGACTTTATACATGAAGTCTCTATTGTTTATCCCTCGATTCGGTCGAAAAAAATCCAGAATAGACTTCTGCTTAGAATTGTTCGAATGTAAATAAATATTTTTATTTCGATTATTTTCGTAATCACTCATATATTCTGCTTTTCTTTTTATTACATTTGAAATAGCACCAATAGATACATGAAATTTATTCGTAATCCACGATAAGTTAAACCAGCTTCATTTAATTTAATAACATTAATTTTTTCTTCTAATGTAAGATCATTAAGAGCAGTCATAATTGAAAAAAAATTCAATTACACTTTATTTATTACAAATGTGTTTGTTTTTCCATTGTTTTCTCTTCTTTCTCTCTTTATGTATAATGATTAAGTTGAACTATACAGCCAATGAGCTTATCGATGATTATCTCTCTCAGTCCAATCACACAATTTTGTATGGCGGCGCTCTCTATAGATGTTCATATTAGACAGGTTAACGTGTACAAATATGACTAAAAAAAGTGTTCACATTCAGAATCGCGGGGGGTTCATAAAGGAGGGGTGCATTTCTAGCAAAATTCGCTCGGTCGTTCCCGAAGGTGTTCAGATAAACAGGGGGTTCATAAAGGAGGGGTGTTCAGAAAGAGAGGTTTCACTGTATATATAAATAACAATATTGATTGTGTCATTGTTTTACTTAGCTCAATTTTATGATGATTATAAGCTTAACACTATATCAAAAGGGAAATGAGATCCTGATGACTTTGATGGATCCTAGGGCTCATGAGTTTGTAGAGGATCCGCTTTCTTCCCTTGCAATATGTATATGGTACAAGGTGAGAAACGAGAGAACCAACATTATAATAATACTCATTGATTTCATCGAGAGTCTTCTAATGATTGTAAAGTTGATCATGTCAAGGCTCGCAATAATCTATTGTTAATGGAAAGACAAAGTGTATCTCTAATATAACATACTGGTATTAAATGTAATAGATAATTAAACATTTAAACTATACATATGAGAAAGAAAACAATGAATACTCATGAAGGTGATCAACTTCTGTCAATCATTATTATTAGCAATCTTATCCGTAGATATTTAATTAAGTTATATGAATGTTTAATCTACCGAATTGACTATTTATGGGTGAAATAGTAGCAGCTCACTTACAAGCTGAATCTAATTAAATATCAACTTTATTTGTATCTATCATTAATAATAATAAAATAATCAGAGAAAAATATTTACTTATCTTTTTATCTAATACTATTTTCTCAAGAATCCCTATCAATGACTGAATGATGTTCTTTAATATGTTCGATTTTAGCCAGGCGTACATAACAATAAACAAGAAATATCGCAGATTGAAAAAAATAAATAAAAATGATTTTTGTTTGAATAAGTTCAGTTTGTATTTAAAAGACAAATATCATATAAATGATGGAAATTATTCAAAGGTAGTGAAACGTATAGACATTCCTACCGATACCCATCCTTCCGTAATGGTTCATTCGATTCTTCTAAATACAATAAAAATTATGTTTCAAAGCTTTTTAATAGACGAAAATATACAGAATGTTTAGAAGAAAAGCATGCAAGTTAGATATGTTATTAATTATGTCAAAATATAGTATAAGTCGTTAAA